GGGCATCCGTCCGACCAAGCACAGTTTGCCGCTGGGACTGTGGGGTTGGGGAGGCTCCCACGGGCTCGTATCGCGCCTCCACTCCCCTCCGCAGCCCCCCTCCCTCCACGCCGGCCCGAGCCCCTAGTTCCTTCGGTGGTACCGAGCGGCGACGCCGGGACCAGGGGACAGGCGCCGCGCCGGCGGGAGGAGGAGGCTCCTGCGGGGCGCGGCGGGGCGGGGCGGGGGTCTTTTCTGGGCCCCGCCCGGGAGGGGACGTGGGAGCGATTATCCCAGAGAACAAAGGCGGCCGGGTAAGGCTCAGCGCCCCTCGGGCCTGGCCCTGAACTTGAACTTGTATTTGACACTTTGTCCGGAAGGTGGCGGGGAAGCCCATCTGAGCTGGGACGGGGCTCGTCCGGCCACCTTCCGTCCTGGGTAGGGGGCAAGCCCGCCCCTTTCTACTCCCAGAGGGAGCGGGGCATCCTAAGGGTCCCGGCGCCCCCCAAGCAATCTTGGGCTCGAGGGTCCTGAGATCCCCGCGTTCCCTCGGAGAGTTGGAGTGAGGACGAGGTCCTGGGTCTCCAGGCCAGAGGAGTAGGCCGGGGTCCTACGCCGCGTCCCCCTCCCTCGGTCCCACCCTCTTGGGCCAGGCCCGCCGCCCTCGCTGCCCGGGGCAGGCCGGATTCTTTGCACGTCGTGTCGGCGGCCGCTATTCAGCCGCTAATTGAACGTTAATGGCAGGTGCGGATGAGGTCACCGGAGCTGGCTTTTCTCACACATTTTTCATGCAAATTCGCGAAACTCTAAACAAATTTGAATAAAAAGCTCTTTGTGCCGCGCGCCCCCCAGTCGTCTCTCTCCCGCTCGGGGTCCTGGCTCCTCCCGGTGCCCTGGGGCTCGAGCCGGGAGCTCCGGGGAGCGCCGCCTGCCGGTCAGTGGTTCCGCCCTACCAGTGGTTAAACGCGGCCCGGGCTACTGGGGGGCGGGTGAAAGATGTTTCATTTGGGGTCGTGGGCCCGGGTTAGGTTGATGGGGCTTTTAGGGAGGCAGTGTGTGCAGTTAAATGCCTGGCATCTGGACAGACAAACGTGAGGGTGCTGGCATCCTGGCTGCAATCCCCCCTCCTCCACCACACACGGAGCCACACGGGCCACTTTGGATGGCCAACTTGGCCTCACTCTCGTTCTTGGTTAAATAGGAATAAGGATAGTGCCCAGCTATGCACACAGATGTGAAGATTAAGCCACGATTTAAGACACAAACTAGCACTTAGAACAGTGCCTGGCACAGTAAGTCTTGATTATTCTCTGCAGTCCAAAGGCCTTGTGAGAATGAATGCTGTGATGAAAGCAGGGTTGTGAATTAGCTCATACACGAGAAAACTTACCAGGGGCTTTCAAGAGACTCACCACCCCCGCCCCACCATCCCATTCTGGTCACAGAGATGAGATCTGGAGGCCAACTCCACTGCTTCCCAGCTGTGTGGCTTTGCCTATTTCTTAGTCTCTCTGAGCCTCCGTTTCCTAGTCTATAAAAAAAATTCAGTCTTACGGAGTCATTGTGAGAATTACATGAGAAGACACTGATGGAAGTTGAGGAGGAGTGTGGGGGCTAGCTCCCAATCTAGAACCTCCAGGACCCCTCTCCTGAGGGCAGGGCACCCTCAAGGCAAGGTGGGCCTTGCACTGGCCATGACCTTCTCTTCTTGCCCAAATGACCCTAGCTCAGATCAAGAAGACAGACTTTCTAAGCCTTGTAAGACTTCTTGCTCCATCCTTTGCACCCATACCAGGGTCCCCACCACACCCCAAGACATGAAGAGTTGTTTTTGCTGGTGGCAGAGTGCTACTTTCCTCACTCATGTCCTCCTAGAAAAACTGACCAGAGACATGGAAGGCTTTGCAAAGAAAATTTATTCACTGTAGGTTGCAAGAAAGGCAGGGGGTTCACAGCATAGGAAGAGACCTCTCCCAGAGAATGCCCTAGTACTCCCTCAGGAGGACCTGTGGGGCTTGGAAGGGTCCTGGTGATTCAAGCTACCTGAGTGCCATTGCTGCTCTCCTACTTCTGCCTCTCCAGCCTGTCTTTCCAGAGCCCACCAGGTCAGCCTCTGGCAAGCACTGGAGCAGGTCTCGGGAGCATCCTCATCTTCCTGCCAAGGACCCCAAGGAACAGCCAATCCTGCAGGAATACAGATGACCAGCAGCCATGGGCTCCAATCTGTATGAGGCTCTGTAACCCTGTAAACCCCTCCACTCACCCCGCTGCCCAGTCCAGGTTTGGGCAAAACCCAGGGGATGGCATTAGGTGGAACTGTGGGAGAAGCCCAGCTAAAAGACTATTTGAGGTGACCCTGCAGGGCAGGGGTTAATGTCTCTATATGTGGGCACCGGCAAGGGGAGTCTGCAGCTTTAGGGACCTCCTATAAGTGGCCAAACGAAACAGGATCTCTTTGGAGTCAAAGTACAGACTTCAAAGTCAAAGAGACTTGGTTTTGATCTCAGTTCTGGCACTTACAAGCTGTGTGACTTAGGACATGTAACTTAACTTTTCTGGGCCTCAGTGTCCTCATCTGCAAAATGGGTGTACCAATGACACCCACACACCATAAAATGATGAGGAGTCACTGCACTAAGGCATGTGACCTGGGACCTGACAGCCTTCTGCACTTGGCCACTCTTAATGCTTTTTTCCTTCCCAGTCTACTGGCCCCACAGCCAATCTGAAGTGACTGTAGCTGTGCCCAGGCCTCAGGGACCAGGTTTCCCAGACCCCTCTGGACAGCCCCATTATGCCTCTTCCTGCCCCCTGCCCCTGCTCCCTCCCAGGCTACTGAGGCACTACTGAGAGCTCTGCAGGCTGCTGCAGCCCCCAACCTAAGGCAGGTGTAACCTGACCCAGTGCCACCAGGGAGGGTGGTGTGCAGCATTACCTCTTGGAGACACTTTCCAGGCCATTTACTCTTTCAGGGATGAAGTAGGGGTGGCAATTGCTCTACTGGGCACCCACACCTCCTCTGCTCTGTGATGTCTTTCTCTCCACACATGCTGCTTATGCAAATAGGCCCATTCACAGCCCTGTTCCCCATCCCCTAGCACGGTGATACTTTTGGGCTATGGCCAAATGGGGACACTTCCCAGTTCACCATGTCCAACACCTGGCATGACCCCAGTGCCTCCAAAGGCCTCCTCCCCCAAACAAGCAGGTCCTCAGGGCAGAGGGGCAATGTCTGCATGGAAAGAAACTGAGAGCCAAGATCTAGCCACCATCCCCCACCCACCTCCCCTGTCCCTAGCCAAGCTCCTGGCTCTGCCCCTCACCTGCAGAGGAGCTGCAACAAACCAATTAACTTCTTTTGATTTGGTGAAACTGGAATAATGATACCCACGTAAGCAAGACCCAGAGACAGTAAGCCTGGCACTTAGTAGGTTTTCGATTAACACTAGCAACCATGATGATATGTGATTATTAGGCCCCAAAATGGCCCATGGCTGAAGCCACCAGTAATTGTGGGATACTTTCTCCAGTAACATCACTACCACCCTCTTAAAGCACCCACGCCAAGTTAGTTGATAGAAGTTAAGCCTATTATACTGAACAACCCTTTACATCTTTCAATAAAAGTATCTTAGGAGCACGAAAAGAAAACAGAACAGTATAGAAGAGTGCATTCCCCCATGCCCACTCCCTAGAGGTAGCCTTCCAGTACATACTTCCATATATAAGCATACTTATGACTCACTTTTAAACATCTACAAATAAGATCATACTCCACAGCCTGTTCTGTAACTTATTCTATTCACCTTATCATGTGAACTGGCCAACCTTCCACATCAACTCATATACGGAGATCTACCACACTGATTTTTACAGCTGCATAGGTATTCCACAGTATGAACAGACCATAGGTTCATGTCCATTTCTTTACACTCTCCAAAAGAAATGCTCTGATGAACATCCTTGTACGTAATTCTTTGGGAACTTTTACAAATATGCCCACAGAGTAAATAGTGCCATTTTTGTGACCAAGTATATTTGCCTTTTACATTTTGATATTGCCACATTTCAGAAAATATTGTAGAATTTACACTCCCCAACTGACAGTGCTTGAGAGTGTCTTGAAATAGGCATGTGATGGTACAGAAACCACAAAATTAGCCTGCCAGTTGGTGCAGGCCACAAAGGCACCCGCAGAGCCAGCAGAGAATGGCACTGGACTAACATGATGTCCTCAGGGTTGTTCCCAGTGGTTTCTTCCTATCCAGGCCTGTATAGGCTAGGGGCCCAAGGGTGCCCTGAATCAGAAGGGAGTGGGGCCCACAGGGGGACTGGGTGGAGGGCAGGCCAGCATGTCCCGCCTGAATGATTTCCTGCAGCCATTGTCTCTGCCCTGCCTGGTCTCCTTGGGGGGAGTTTATTCAGAGGCCCTTGGAAAGGGGGCTAGGCAGGAGGAGGGTGTGCAGTCCTCACCAAAGGCACCCAGGAATGTGTCATAGGAGGGGGAGAAAGAGGAAGGGGGGGAACCCATCCCTGGGAGAGACGGGACGTCAAGAACCCCTGACTAATGAATAGCGAGTTTGCCCTTGAACCTCACTGGGTTTCGCCATTCTCAGGCACAGAACAAGAGCTGAGACACGTCTGAGCCCAGCTGCACAGGGACGGCGGCGGTTCATCTCAGACACTTTGACAGGCCGGGCCTTTTCCCTGCATAGCTCAGATCTGCCTCCGGACTCCCCTGGCAACAGCACAGCAGCATGGCTCCCGGGTCCAGGCCCTGCCTGCTGTGAGCAGGAGGAGGGACGAAGAGGAGCACCAAGGGGAGGACAGCTGGGGAGAGGGAGTCGTTAACTCCTAGCAGGCTGGAGTCCCTTGCTTTGGCAACTTTGCCAGTGTGCTGCCCTTGGTCCTAGGCTGGAAACACGGTAAAGAGCTTCCGTTTGCTGGAGGCCTACCCAGAATGTTCCATGCACCTCAGACCCAAACAGATCTGACAAGAACAGACATAGTGAAGAAGGAGATGCTAGGCCAATGGGCCAAAGGCAAAGGCCCTTGAGGGATGGGTTGGGGTACATTTTCCCAGGTCCCCTGCCAAGTCCCAGATGGGCAGGATTACGGGGTCCTCCTCCTCCATCCTGGTCCCTGGCTGTTACAACCTCAGAACAGAGGCTACTTGTTCTCCCTTCCTGCTGGGCTTTTTCCCTTCTGAGGCTCTTGCATGTCCTGGGGTGGCTTGGCTCTGTGTTCCAATCCTGTGACCTTGGCAAGAGCCACAATTCCTCTGTCTCCATTTTCATAAAAGCTGAAAAGAGGCTGTCCGATCATACTTCACTTCACAGGACAATCTAAAGATAAGAGAAATAATATGTGAGAAGCTTTGCACTCTGGGGAGGAAGGTGTCCTATAAATCTCATTCAGGTATTATTAGGGCTGAAATTAGGTATTTCTGCCCCCTGGGGAAAGAGGGGCAGTGGGCTGGGGGGAGGCGCTCCTCCAAGGTTGTCTCAGCACTTCCCCAGCAGGGCAGTCCTGAAACTCAAAGGCAAGAGGTCAGGAAAGTTAAGCGTTTATGTCTGTGGCCTTTGAAGCCTCTGGGTACAGCTGGCACTAGGAGGTAAGACAGAACATCATTTCGAGGTACTTTATCTGTGTTATTTCTATGCCTCACGGCAACTTTATGAGAAAGGTGTGGTTATCTTCATGTTAGAAATAAGGAAATAGAGGATCAGAGAAGCTAAGGAGCTGGCCCAAGGTCACGCCAGTCATATAAGATGCTGAGCCCACATCCATGTATCAGCTGTACCAGTGGAAGAGCCGCCTAGCTGGGGTGCTTCGGAGAGGGGTCAGCACCAAAAAGTAGTGTTTCCCCCATGGTTGCTTCTCAGGGATTGGAGCTTTTGAGTCTAAAGGTTCTGGCCTAAGGGAGTGGAATGGGGCAAGTCCCAAGGAGAACACTGCAAACCCACCCTGAGGGCCACCTGAGCAAACAAAGCCACCAAGGCAAACACCATTCAGAGCAAAGAGAAGTAGAAGAAAGGACAAAAGCATCCAGAGTAGAGACTGGGAGCGCACCTAGGTGAGACTCATGTTCTCTGCCCAAGTCTTGCTCCAGGACAGGTCACTGCCCAGCCCCATGCCCCTTGCCAGCAGTGAGCTGGGTTTTCATTTTTGTAGCCTCTAGGTAATGGTGCCTCCTTGCATCCCAGGCCAGCTTGAACAGGACAAAGCTAATTGTGTTTCCTGTAAGCCAGGGGGCTGGGAGCAGGGGTTACTGGCAGGTAACAGAGTAGAAGCAGCAGGAAGAACTCCCAGATGAAAAAATGCAGGGGTTAAAAGGGACCTCAGATACCATCCTATTCAATGCTCCTTTTCTTTTTTCTCTTTCTCTTTCTTTTTTAAGAAATAGGATCTTGCTCTGTCATCCAGGTAAGAGTGCAGTAGTGCGATCACTGCAGCCTTGGAACTACTGGGCTCAAGGGATCCTCCTGCCTCAGCTTCCCAGGTAGCCAGAACTATGGATGCATGCCACCACACTTGGCTAATTTTTTCATTTTTTAAGAATAGCGTCTCACTGTTCTCAAACTCAGGCTGTTCTCAAACTCTTGGCCTCAAGAGAGCCTCCTACCTCAGCCTCCCCAGTTACTGGGATTACAGGTGTAAGCTACTGCACTAGCTCAATGCTACTTTTCTGGGTCCAGTAAAGGAGGTGGCTTGCCCAAGACCACTCAGTGGAAAAGTGGGCTAGAGTCCAAATCTCTGACTTCCAGCTAGGTAAGGTTGTGTCTTCCTATGCCCTTGTCACTTAACCAGACCACCTTAGGCCCTCAAAGCCATTAATTTCACCCAACAAGGCAAAGAGATAGGCCAGGTAAAAGGAGTCAGTGTTGGCTAAGTGCATCACATGTCCAGGTGTGGCCTCAGAAAGCCTGGGGCTGGGAGAAGATGCTGCCTGCCTTGAGGTCAGAATCTTTCCACGATGACAGAACATGGCTCCACACTACCCCAACACGACACTCCCATACTCCACAGTCAGATAACAGAAACCATGAACTTCCCCTGGCTGATTAAGAAACAGGCATGAGGAGTTAGATCAGAGCACAAACAGACCCTCTAATCCTGACCCATGGTGCTTCTGAGAAGAAGGGACAGGAAGGAGGGGCAGCTCTAGGGGACATGAGGATGGCGAGAGCCCACAGAAGCAGCTCTTCCTCAGAGCCTGGTGGCAGGTCTGCTGCCAGCTTGGGGCAGGAGCTGGGAAGGCTCTCAGCTCACTGCCCTCTGCTTCCAGGTCCTCTTTCAGGTCAGGCAGGGTGCGCCATGCTAAGCACGCCTGACTTGCTTGAATGCAAAGATCTCAGGATCCTGCATCCTGCAACCTCCTCAGGAGCTGCCCTCAAGGGATGTCTGTATGCTTGCTGATAAACGGACTCATGATGGGGCAGAAAGACACAGGGACAAGTTCTGCTCAGCTGTGCCCTCCTCCCTGGGTGATGGTTTGGGCCAGCTGTCATTCTGACTGGTTGGTGCCCAACCTGTACAGGTGGTTAAATATTCTGAATATCACCACTGTCCACATTCCCCAAATCTCAGCTATCTTAAATGACCTGCAGAACCTTAACTCCTTCATCTCTGCCCCATATCTAAAGGAAAAGGAGAAGAAAAATTAACCCCACTGAGTGTTTCCCATGTGCCCAAGAGTCTTCATAGCAGCTCCAATGGAGGTAGGGATTATGATGCTCGTTTTATAAATGAGGGTTTGGAGGCTCTGAGACATCCAGGGTCTGCTGCAGAGTCATGGCAGAAGCAGAGCCCTGGGCCTCGGCCCACAGCATCTTCTCCTCTGTTCCTACCCTCCAGCCAAGGTCCAAGGCCTGGGGGCTGCCCCAGTTCTGCTAAGCTGGATGCCTCAGAACCACTCGGGCTTGCATTCACACCCCCACCTCAATTTCCTGTCTCTCCTGGCTTCTCTCAGGGCCCATCGCTGAGAGAATCAGGGGTTCATCTCAGGGGTTCTCTCCCCTGCTCATCTAGGCAGGGAAGCCATTCCACCCAGCATACTTGCTTAGTTCTAGACAAATCCCCACCCCCGACTAACCCAACAGCATATTCCTGGCTGACCACGGGGATGATACCTGCAACTTACAGAGACTTCTTCTAACTGGGATTGGCAGCCAGAGGATTTGGGGACTGGGGTAAGGGTGGGGGCAGCTACCAAACAATAAAAACTTAGCCATGCAGAAAGGGCCAGAAAGCCCTAATCTTGGGAACTTTCCTCCTGAGGGACAAAGAGGAGGTGACGCCCGACTGCATGCAGGGTCTGTGCCTCAGCCCTCTACTGGGTACCACCTGTGCTGGGTCCAGCCCTGCCGGGCCACTGCCTTAGGAGTGGGAGCTGCGCTCGGAATGTGATTCTCCAGCTTTGCATGACACTCTGTTAGCAGAGTGCGACTCCCAAGATCCCCTGTCACCTCCTAAAGCCTCTGCCAGCCTGCCCCCCAGCACCACAAGGATCACCAGATTAAGGAGCTCAGAGCTACAGCTGAGGCGGCTAAACCCTGGGAGGTAGGAATGAGGAGGGGCAGGGAGGCCAGTGGGCAGCTCTCCCAAGGCCCTGCTGCCCTGCCTCTTCTCCCAACCCGTACTGCAGGCAACTCTCTCACTATCCCTGCCATGAAGCGCTAACTTCTATCTTCTTTTCTTCTTGAGCTTTGGACTTTACCACCAGTTATCCAGCTTGAGTGAGGAGCAGTTCAGGGAGACAGGGAAAGGGGTAGAAAGAGAGGCCCCCCAGAAACAGAAATAAAAAGAGAGAGAGAGGCAGGGAGGAAAAAGGCAGCCCAGATGGAAGGAACAAGTGCACTGTGTATGGGAACTGGCTGGCACAGCGGCATGGGAAGGAAGGTCCCTGCTGGAAGGGAGGTCCAGGGTCTCTCCCCTGCCTGGCCTGAGTGGCTACCTGAGGTTAATTCCAGAGGCTCCTTGTGGGTGGCTCTGGTCAGCTGCCTGGCCTCAGTGCAAGGTACATCCCACAACACCTGATGAGAGAGTGGGAGAGTGACAGAGATTGGGAGGTTGGCAAAGAAGGAGCCAGACCCCCTGGCCACTTAACCTGAGACCCCTGCACTAAACAGCAGGGTGACGCTTCATCCCACTCCCCACCCACCACCTGGGGTTATTCTGAAGGGCTGTGGAGAGGTGGGAACTCTGAAGTTCCCAGATGAACCCAGCCCTGTCCCCTGCCCACCCCCACCAACCCTGTCCCAGGACCTGCAGGGGGCAACCAGGACACACCTAGGGCCCTGGCTAGCAGCTGCTCTCCCTCCAGCTTCTCCTTTGCCACTGCCAAGCTCTCTTCTGCTTGGCAGTCTCTGTGCAGAGAACCAGGGCCTGCTTCTCACCACTGCAGGTTAGGGATGGGGAAGAGCTCCTCTGTGAAGACCTGGGAAGACAGGCTCTGCCTGCTCTTGGTCCTCCCCACACTCTGAAAACAGGAGCCCGCACTGAATATCAACAGGGATGAGGCCAGGCGCAGTGGCTCAAGCCTGTAATCCCAGCACTTTGGGAGGCCGAGACAGGCAGATCACGAGGTCAGGAGATCGAGACCATCCTGGCGAACACGGTGAAACCCCGTCTCTACTAAAAAGTACCAAAAAATCTAGCTGGCCGAGGTGGCGGGCACCTGTAGTCCCAGCTACTCAGGAGGCTGAGGCGGGAGAATGGCGTAAACCCGGGAGGCGGAGCTTGCAGTGAGCTAAGATCCGGCCACTGCACTCCAGCCTGGGCGACAGAGCGAGACTCCGTCTCAAAAAAAAAAAAAAAAACCAAAAACAAAAAACAGGGATGAAATCCTTCCTGCAGCACTCCCCTCCACCCCAGCCAGAATTCATTAGTCCCATTCCTGTCATTGTGCTAAATTAGCGAATGCTAAATCAACATAGTTTTGAAATGATCACCACTGTTACCACTATCAGAGGCTTTCTGAACTAGAAGAGAGCCAAGAGATTCCTGAAGTTCAACTCACTCCTCTTGCCAACAAGAAAACTAAGATTCAGGAGTTGGGGTCACTTGGCCTGCCTGAGGTCACATAGAAACCGGTAGCAAGGACATGCCTTACGCCCTGTCTACCAGACCCCTTTCCTTTCAGGCCAGGCCTCTATGAGGTCCTAAAAGGAAGCTTCTCCATCATATTCCACACAAGATCCTGGTCCAACCACAGGCGGCAGGGGTCTGGGGACAGGGGAGGCCGTAATGCGATCAGCAGACTGGCCATCTGGCTCGGGGACGGAGAAGAGTTCAGACTGGCTGTTTCTGCTGCCCGGTCCCAAGGGGCCCTGTGTCGCAAGAGACAGACTGCCAGATGGACAGGCACTGGCCTGGGTCTGGGAGGAAGCCAGTGAGTCCCAGCAGTCAGAGCTGACCAACTTTCAGACATGGAGGGGTGGCGGGAAGAAGGCATAGGGAGCAAAGCCAGGCCTCCCAGACAGCAGAGAGACAGAACTATAGGATGGGAAAGCCGCAATTCCCTGGCCAGGCTCAGAGCCTGGCTCTCCAGGTAGGCCCAGCCCCTCTCAGCTCCAGGCCCCCAGGCTACTGGCCAGCCACAAACAGGGCCCCCTCCCGGGGAAAGGCAAACACATCTCCCCTGGCACCTTCTCAGACATGCATGCAAAACTAATTAACATGGGGAGACATGCGAGCAGCCGGCCAGCTCCACACCCTCGAGTCCACGCAAACAAGGCGAGCCCTTGTCCAGGGGACGTGCACAAAGCTTTGTTGCTAATTTAGGCATCTGTCTCTGTCTGGTCTGGTCCTCCTGCCTGTGCTGGGGTTTTTCCCAGCCCCTTGGACAATGCTGGGAACAGGCCCACCGATCCCTTATTCAAATCACACCCGGGACAATGAGCTCATTGTGCAGGCCACAGAAAAGGGGATGCTGGAGGGTGGGAGTGTATAACGGGGCATCAGGGAGTAGAGAAGGGTGGGGGGTGTACAGAAAATGGGAACCCAGGAAAGTGTTTACTAACACAGCCCCTGCAGCTGCCTTGGGCCCCTTGCCCCCTTCCAACCTGGCTTGGAACTGGGGGGAAGTGCTGGGACTCAGAGCTAGGGGGCCCCAGAGTAGAAGGCTCAAACCTTCATTTTGTTGACCTCTCCCACCTTCAACAGTTTATAGCTACCTCTGCACATCTAAGGCCAGGCACATTTTTTAATAGGGTGGTTTGGGGGCTTGTTTTCTTCTTACTTCAGGCTTAAATGTGCAGATCCCAACTGCAGAAGAAGAGACAAGGCTGAGGGAAGAGATGTTGGCGGCTGTGCAGGGTGGGACCTGCTGTCTCGGCCATTGTCTTCAAGCAACGTTTCATGTTCTCCTCCTTTCCAGCTAATAAATTAGAGAGGAGATGGTGAGCTGCGAAGGGAGAGGCTCCCCATGGATGGCAGCAGAGGGCTAGAAGGCAAGTCTGGGAGCTCACAGCAGATGGGGCTCACCCAGCCCAGCGGCTGCTCACACCACACCTGGTCAGACACTCGCATGCAGCCCCACACAATAAGCAGTATGGAAAAAAATCCACAAACACACATACACACACATACACACACACACGCATCTCCTGAGGTCCCTGAGGAGGACAGCTGGGCTTTGAAATGCCCTCCCCCTTTACTGCCACCTCCCCAAGCTCCTTGTTGCACTGAGCACGCCTAGACAAGCCAACAGAAACAGACACACATAGCCTGTCACTGACACACAGACACACACAAACACACACACACACCCCCAGAGGCAGCCCCAGACACACACACTGACAATGGTGTAATGAATGCGGGAAGGCGAGAACATTCAGTCAAAAGCCCACACTCTGGCTGCCCAGCACCGGGGTGGCTAAAAGGTTGTGGAGAGGCTGTGAACTGGCTCTCCCAACAACCTCCTCCCCAAGGCTCCCAGGACTGCTGCCGGTGACACAGGAGGTGAAGTAAAATACCGTTTCAGGCATCCAGATGGAAGCAAATTCCTCCAGAGGCAGAAAAGTTTGGAACCGGTCTCAGCCCTTAGTCAGTATTGGCTGAACTGTCTGGAATTTTTTTTTATAACAAAAGAAAGGGTGCTCAAAACTCATCTGAAGTATCCTGCATTTTGAGATTATATACCTTGAAGCTGGGGCAAAGTGGAGCCTTGCTAGGATAGTTTCCTACTGCAGTACAATCCACAGGTTACAGTGATTCCTTCCTGCTGTTAAAAAAAAATTCTGTGAAGGGTATCATAGGATGAAGAGGAACACAAATGGTTTAAAGTATCAGAAACTCTTTAAAATGTGTTTCTGGGGATCCCTCTACCATCCCAGAGGAATGGAACTATAGTAGGTTGAACTATAAGAAATTGTCAATATTTGACTATTTTTCATCAACAAGAAAGAAATTTCATACGGGTCAACCTAGTAGGTGCTGGTTCCAAGAACCACCAAGGATATTTTCCCCTTTTAAATTAAATTACATTTTTTTAAGAGACAGGGGTCTCATTCTGTCACCCAGGCTGGAGTGCAGTGGCGTGATCATAGCTAACTGCAGCCTGGAACCCCTGGGCTCAAGTGATCCTCCAGCCTCAGTCTCCCGAATAGCTGCGACTGCAGGTGTGCCATCATACCTAATATTTTTCCTTTTTAAATTGTCCTTCCCAAACTGGGTTATTTTCTCCCTGAACGTAGAAAAAAAATAACAGTATTCTAAAACCTAAATCTACCTTGGACCATCCATCTACAGCCACAGAAATACATCTTTCCAGCAGCTGGAAAGAACTGCAAACACACATGCGCAGCCCAATGCCCATGTCAGGAAGGGACCCACCTTTGGACTCTTGCCACCGGGGCTTCTGCTTCTCTTTTTGCTGTCTTCTGACTCCAGAGGATGTCCTGGATGGGGACAGAGGAACATGAGAGGGAAACTAGAACTGGAAATTGGTCAGCTGCACACCCGGCCTCTCCAGCACTGGACTCGGCATATGCTCTGCCTTGGAAGAAGCATCTCCTGGGCAGCCTCATAACTGAAGCACATGCTGTCCACTGGCCGCCATATTCAAACCCAAGGCCAGATTCTGTGCATGCAGTATTCATCCAGCAAATCACCTCCAGGAGACCCAGGCAATGGAAGCCAAAGGGTGTGGACGCCACCCAGCGTAGGGAAGGCCTACTCATTGCCAGCATCCGGACATCCATTGGTCCCGTTGCTCACTGTCACAGAAGTCGGAGCACACCACGTCTTCCTGGGAAATCACCATCACCAATCTCTCTGGGGTTTCCTAAGGAAGGAAAGGTTGGAGGCTTCAGAAGCAGAGCACAGCACTGCTCTGTGTCTCGCCACCTGCTTCTCACCTGGCCACAGAGGAAAGCCTGTTCCATGTGTGCCCATCCTGCCCACCAGCAGCAGCTGCTGAGGGTGCACACTTCCCCTGAAAACGTTTCTGGTGGCTAAGGACCTGAGGTTCTATTTAAAGATACAGAACCACCTTCTATACAGCCAGAAGTGGCAGAGTCCCTCTTATATCCTTGACAAATGCTATGTAATTTCTGAGAGCTTTATCTTACTAACATACACACACCAACGTCAACAAAACCGCCAAAATAGCAATAATAATAAGATGAAACTTATTGCCCTTCCCATTCCTGGAAGGCAAGAAAGAATGACAGAGGCTGCAATTTGGGCTTTAGGGCTAGTGAATTCATTTGCAGGACTAGGCCCAACCCAGGGGCTGTGAGAATTACTCCCCAAAACCTCAGCTGTATGAAGAGAGGCAGCTGGGTATCCCCCATTGCTAACTTATATACAGGCCCACCTGCCAAAAACTGTACTCAGGATCCAACCTGGGTGCAGGGTAGCATGAGAAACAAGGTAAAATTCTAGCCTTGGTGCTCTGAACAGCATCTGATTTCTTCTGAGGAAGAGAAACCTACACGAATTCATCAAGATGTAATTTATTGTTTGATTACATTTAAGATGTTTCCTACCAATCTCACAAGTAAATCTCGATAGATTACTGCTATTTTGATTTATAAAATCAAACTGCCTTTTAGTCTGGGTGTGGTGGCTCATGCTGTAATCTTTTTTTTTTTTTTTTTTTTTGGTGAGACAGAGATTTATTCTTGTTGCCCAGGCACGATCTCGGCTCATCGCATCCTCTGCCTCCCAGGTTTAAGCAATTCTCCTGCCTCAGCCTCCCGAGTAGCTGGGATTACAGGCATGTGCCACCACGCCGGCTAATTTTGTATTTTTAGTAGAGACGGAGTTTCTCCATGTTGCCCAGGCTGATCTTGAACTCCTGACCTCAGGTGATCCACCTGCCTCTGCCTTCCAAAGTGTTGGGATTACAGGCGTGAGCCACTGTGCCCAGCTCATGCTATAATCTCAACACTTTGGGAGGCCCAGGTGGGAGGATCGCTTGATGCCAGGAGTTTGAGACCAGCCTAGGCAACAAAGAAAGACCCTGTCTCTACAAAATAAATTTTTTTTAATATTATAAAATAAAAATAAAAGTCTGGGTGTGGTGGCACATGCCTGGAGTCCCAGTTACTCTGGAGGCTGAGGCAGAATTGCTTGAGCCAGTTCGAGGTTATAGTGAGCTATGATCAGGCCATTGCACTCCAGCGTGGCCGACACAGCAAGACCTTGTCTCAAAAAAAAAAAAAAAAAAAAAAAAAAAAAGGTGTTTTTAAAATGAAGAAAGGGTAACTGAAATGTCACAATTCTATACAGAAACAATGGAATCTAGAGAATTACAGTTCTAGCTGAGGCTAAACGACAGCTTAAGGTCATCACAGGCAAAGCATGACATGGCCTCTGACGCTGTTCTCCCAGGCTCTTGGGACATGCAGAGGGGCAGGAAAGTCAATAAGCCACAAACTGATGACAACTGTCAGATCCGGAGTGCCTGCTAATCTAGCACACCACCCCTGCTAGCCTGGCCTTCCAGCTTTAAACGGATATATGCCTTTCCACATCACACAAGCTAAAGTGCTGGGCCAGGGACTGTGGTTTCCTTCTCTGTATCCCCAGGGCCTTGCCCAGAGGCTGACACATAATGTGTGGTCAATAGACATTGAATGAATAAATGAGTGTGGTAAGAAAAAATACAGTGTGGCATGGGAAGACTTCCAATTTCAGAGCCCCGTAGTTCCCTTGCAAAGTGGGAAATGGCTCCACAGCACAGCCCTGGGGCTGCTGACGTCCAGGCCAGGTACCATAAGAGGTGAGTGGCACAGGGTGGGTGTGGCTGCTTAGCTCAGGTTGGCCTGGGCAGCACAAGGCCTGATAGCCTCTAATACCCACCAGTCTTGCACATGGTGACCAAACCAATTCTCTTAGCCAGCTCCCTACCTCGTCATTCTTATCCTCCACCATCTAACCTGACCTACATCCAAATCTCAGGCCCAGGCCAGCAGGAATCCTCCTCCCACTTCATCTCCACAAAAAAAGGCCCTAGTCGAAGAGTTCTCCCCATTGGCAGGGATGCCGTCTTGCCCTCTCGACAGCCTAGAAGACCTGTTTGGGCACAGCGAGGCTTCTCCACCCCAATCTAATTCCTCTTCTCTTAACTCCCAAGGACAGAGACAAAACATCAAAACACTCTGCTCCTTGGATGTGTGCCGCCTTAGGCTGGTAATAGCTAGTTTCTCTGCTCCTAGAGGTCAGGAGTTCTCCCTGCACTGCAGAGCTTATGGCTGGTCTATAAACACCACAGCTTATTGTAGAGTGACTAACAGAGAGCTGACCCTGGTCCCTTGCTGGCCAGGGAAGGTGGCCTTCACTCGTGACAGACCAGCAAGATGGGGGATGCATCTTGAGTGTCACAAGGTAAGTATTACTATTCCCAATTTTGCAGATGGGAAAACTGGCTCAGACGAAGAGGGGAAGGAGTGTCCTGTGGGCTCTGAATTAGATCAGACCAACCCCTCCACCTGGATACCCACTGGGCCACACTGCCTCTGCCTCACACCACCATGGTCTCGGAGTCTGTCACCCACAGTAGAAGAGAGAACAGTGAACTCGATACTGGGTAAAAGCAGCTGCACATTCAAAGGGAAGGGTAGCTATAAACTTGAGACTTGTTTCTTTACTCCCCTTTTCCCCAGCACTCATCAAGGAGGTAACATGCCTTCAGAGGCATCTGCTACCTCTCCTAACCTAAGGAGACAGTAGGAGCTATGGTGCAGAACTGGGCAGATAGGAGGAAGGCTTGACATTGTCTGCTTAAGGACAAGATGAGATGGGACAGAGGATGTGGGCCCCCTTCCCTCCTCCAGAAGACCATGGGTGCTACATCAGGGGGATACAACATTGCAAAAAGCAAAAGGCCAGCCTCATCCTGAGCAGCCACAGTCCCTTGGCACTGTGGGCAGGCTGGTAGGCTTGGGCCAACCCCGTAATTTTACAGACTGAGGCACAGCAGGGATATGGAACACACAATTAGGAGATAAATCCGGACTGGGTGGTATGCTGCTCACCCCTCTAGCACTGCACCAAGGCTCCCAGGGGCCCAGCATAGAGCCCTCCCATCTTGATTCTCCAGGTGTACTGCCAGCCCCAAGCAGGAGACACTGCAGAGGCATCCTTTGGCAACCCAAATGAACTCAAGCTGCTTCCCAAAGCCCAGGCTGATTCTTTGGGAGACAAGGACTCACTGGGGGCTGATAGTCCCTCCTATGCAAGGGCTGTAGCCCCTGTAACACACCCCATGCAGTCACCCAAATGGCATTTGGCTTAGAAAAGAAGGGAAAATCCATGGTCCAATTTACTACTCTTTTTTCTCCCGAAGAGACAGCCCTCAAAGGAGACACAATATACAAAGCATTAGCACAGAACCTGGCACAGAGTAAGTGCTCAGTAAATGGTTCCTGTCCCCATCATCATGACTCATTATGACTTCCTCGATGCCCATTTCTCACCTCCCAGGTTCATGTGAGGAGCCTTCTTTTTATAAATTCAAACCTTACTGGAGCTGGAAGGCCCTTAACCCAGTCCAGGGTTTCCACGGCAGGAAACTGGAGTTTCTGAGGGGGAAAGGGGGCTGGAGGCAAGCCCAGACCCACAGCCAGGGGTCCTCCAAGGGGAGAAAGCTAACTGAGGCCCTCTGCCCTTTGACAGCAGTATGAGCCCAGCACCTCCCCGGAAAATCTCTCTGAGGCCCTGAGGCTTGGCAGGGAGCCAGGGCAGGAGGCCTCTCCAAGAAGACGCTGTCTCTGAGCCAAGATGCATCCCAGAAGCTCCAGCTCAGGGAGAGCAGCAGAGGCTGAGGGGAGGAGGGGCAGCCAGGAAAGGGGTGACAAGGAGCCCTCGGGCCAAAGGAAACAAACCTGCTGAAAGTGGGTTTGGCACGAACCTGGGATGCATGGCTGCCTTCCCGTGCCCTGTGGTTTCTGCACATCTGGGAGACTATGAAATCACTGCTAGGGACGGGGGAAGGAGGACAACCCTCCTGTTATCTACAGCTGTGCCCATTCAAACTCCCCTGGGGCACTGCTAAACCTTCATCCAAAGATTCTTCTGGGGTTTACCTATTGGCTGCCTTGTCCCCACCTTAAATGCTGAAAAATACAATGTTGTCTACAGATTCAAGCCACGATTTCTGCCTTCAAGGACTGAGGGGTAATCCCCATTTAAAGGGCTGTACTAGGCACTCCTAAAAGCCCCTTAAGGCACGAGGTTCTCTATGTGCCTCCTCTCTAGCTTTTCCATGGACCTCTATGCACAGAGCCCTGTGTGGCCACAAGCCTCCTGGGGGAGATCAGGATTAGTTACTAAGCACTGGGGATGGAAGAGGTCTTGAGCCTCTAGTGTAGACCTCACTATCCAATGAAAATATGTCAGTTCCAAGTATAATTTTAAATGTTTCTGAAGCTTCATTAAAATGTAAGAATGAACATGTCGTTTTAACAATATATTGTACTTAACCCAACATTATCATTTCAACATGCCACGTTGACCACATTTCATGAGATCAACAGCATGGGTGTCTAGTGGTTATACAGGACAACAGCAACCTCTACCCATTTTCAGATGAGGATGAGAATGTGGTCCAAGTATCTAAGAAAAGGGCAAGAGGATAGAAAGGGAAGTCCCATCAGCCTTTCTCTTCAGCTTCCAAATACATAGTCATGACCTATGAAATAGATAATTTTATGATCAATCAAATTCAGGGAGACTGCAACATAAACCTATTTTGAAGCAGACAACCCAGAGAGGAGCAGAAATGAATATACTTGACATTACAAGGCTAAGGAACAAAGACCAACAGGAAGACACAAGAGGGAGGCTCTGGAAGACCTCTGCATTAGATGCCAGTCTTGCTAAGGACCTCTGTTTGTACAATCTCTGCTCAGAGCTACCTGGCTCCTATGGGGTATAAATACTCCAGCACTGGGTCTGGTGAATTTTCTACCATGTATCCCTGTAGGAACTACCCACAAAAGCTCCTCTCTGCTTTAGAAGGCAAGAACAAGTCGTGCATTTACCCAGTGCTTCTAGTCTTCTTACTCCGAGTCGCCATGCCAACACACAGTCATAATTACCGAGGAACGCGTCAATAGTGGCAGCATTGACAAAGACACTATATCAGGGCCTGTAAGCTAAGCAAGGTCAGGCTCCTCGAAGCCCCCCAGCTTCCTGCCCACTTCCTTTATTCCACTCTGATCCATTTCTTTCTCTTCATTCTTTCTCTCCCACCCAGATGGTCTCTGATTATATTTTCTCTGTAGAGAAAGGAACTACAGCTCAGCATATAAAACACTTTTATAGCAATTGGGAGACAGGTTCTCCTTGGAGTCCTGATTTTAACTTGTGGGAAAAGTCCCTTTAACATCCAGGCCTCAGTTATTTTGCCGTGAATGGGGAGAATATTTTGGATATTGCCTATTCAGCAGATGGGTGGCTGCATTTAATTCGCCTTCTAAATTCAGGGCTGATTTGTGTTATCTAGTCAACTCTAAGATCATCTTTCTGATCTGCACCAGAGGTACCAGAAGCTCAGGGAAACAAAAGACGGTTCAGATCAGAGAGGGAGCTGGTTTTAACACCTCAAGAACAGCAGGGCTTGTATTTCTCCCCAGGAAAGGCAAAAATCTCAAAAAAGGAGCCAGGAGCAGCTGAATGGTGGGCTCTATCAGATTATAAAAAGACAAGTGGGATGGATGAGAACTATCAGGCTAAATGACAAGCATCCTGAGGCCCCCAGTGAAACAGGACATGCACCCATTTAAAATGAGAGGTCAGAAAAAGAAGGCAGACAGCCATCACCAGAGCCCTACGCAAGAGCGCCCCAATTTCAGAACACCCAGTGCACCAACATCTGAACTTACAAAGGAGATAAATTGGAGGTTGATGATTAGCATCACAAAATGATTATTCCCTTTGTAAAAGGCTTCACTGCAGGACTGCTTTAAATAGTGCATTTAAACCATGATCTGATTTGCTAAATTCGATTTATACACATCTACTGCCTAAGCTGGCGTGCGGCTGTATTTACATGTCTTCCCTTGGCACAGAGGAGGGGAGAAGCCAGCCATTATTTGGGGCCTTTAATCCTTGTAGACAGTAACTAATCTGGGGAGCTGAACCCTGTTTTTCTTCCACAGCTGGGGCTTTAGCTGCAAACCAGCCCTAGTTACCTACTCTGCTTTGTTCATGCAGATTCTACCCAAAGACGACAGAATTTGGCCAGGATCTGTTGGAGCCTTTCTGCCAATAGGGACTCCCATCAGAAGCACAACCCTCCCCACACCCAGGGGTGACACTTTTCCAGCCTAGAATTCCAGAGAATCTGGTCTGTTGCAGGTCACTAAATTTATTCAGCACCTACAGTTATCATGCCAGGGATTCAAATGCTACCTTTTGGGAGCCATGGAAATTTACTAATCTAAGCCACATTCTGTGATTTGTACTTAAGCCGTGGGAATCAAACCTGAGCAAGTACAGAAAGGCTGTCTCTCCACCCAAAGAGGACAAAAAAAAAATGAGTCGGCCAGGTCTCATGGCCACTGTGCTGGTGGGGAAACCTCCCTTGGTTCACCTAAAGGGACTTGCAGGTGTTACTGACAACATAGTCCCCCAAGAGACAAATGACCCTTTCCTATAAGGTCCAATAATGTGATGGGGCAGAATAGGATGACTGCCAAAAGGGAAAACACACTACCCACCTCGTACCACTTGCCAGGAGAGAGACCTAGGGAATTAAGGATCAGGAACCTAACATTAAAAAAATAAAGGCCCCCTAGAAAACTGAAGTCAGGGACTTCCCCTCTACCACCACCCCCCCATCCCCTCATTATCAGAGGTTTTAGCCCCACTCAATTATCAAATATTTAGAGACACCCACAATGATGAGTCCAGCCCAGCACTAGGAACTGGGAGAAAAGAAAGGAACAAGGCAGCATCCAGGTCTGAGCAATTTATAGTGAGGAATGGAGTCGCTAGACCACAATTAAACTGTCTCCAAGTTGAGAAGCCCACTAAAGCCTGCTCATGAGAGGATGGGAACTGGACTGGGAGTCAGGACCCCTGGGTCTCAGTCCTCACTGTACTAGCTAATTTTGTGACCTTGGTGAAAATCACGTAACCTCTCTGGACCTGGTTCCTCATCAGTGACATGAGCAGTTGACCTACATAACCACTAAGCTTTACATTTTCTATAAGCCTCATGCAGGAAAAACGTTCATCTCTCTAAAATCCTGATGAGTTTCATTTTAAAAACAAGGTTATCACCATCATGTTTTCTTTTTGTGGCTGCCAGGAAGCTCAGAATAATCACATTATTCAGTCACACAATCTGAGGCCAGGGCTTTAGACTGGGAGGTTGGGGGATGACAGGAGAGCCCTCACTTGTGAGGCAGGGCTGTGTGGGGATGGGGACTTGGATTCAGGAGAGGCTTGGTGCTTATCTGAAAGATGAAACCACAACGGTGATGAATCCCTGTGTTCCTGTGTACGTGCAGAGAGACAGGTTGGGAACGCAGGCCTTGGGGCAGATAGCCCCAAGTCCACAACCGGCTCTACCACATCCTAGCTATAGCAAAAGACACAAATAGTGAATCATCACCCTATCTGTCAAGGTGAGGTCGAATTCTCTTGAAGCTGTTAGCAATAGCCCTGGCACAAAGCGGGACTCCAAAGACACAAACTAGTATTACTGAAGTTTCTTGGTCACTCTGCATATAAATGCACACATCTGGGATCTGCTTCAAGGCAGCGGTGGGTCAAAGCAGACAGCTAGAAAAACAGTGATTGTGCTTAAATTATTCACGAGGGTAGGATAGGGGCAAAGGACGCAGAAGAGCAGAAGCTCTGGCCCTTAGGCCTGGAGGTGGCAAGCTCAAACATGCAGCTCCAATGCCCGGCCCCCTTCATTCGCATCTGACCCGCAGCCTGCCCTGGGATGGTGTGAATGGAGCCTCCCGGCCGGTCCTCAAACCCAACCACACGGACCATGGAGGCCCTCGCCAGCTCCTGTCCGGGTCTCGAGGCCCACGGCTCCCTGGCCCGTGGCTATCCTTGCACTTGGGACCACACTCAGTCCCAGGAGGGCGGCTCGCCATGTCAGGCTTCGCGGTTCCAAGAAAACGCGGGCGTTAGCCACACACCTAGCACTCCTCGAAAACAATCAAAGAGCTCGAAGCGCTCTCGGTTGCAGACTCCAAAATAACGCCATTGTTCCCCACGCGGGGAAGGCCATTTCCGCCCCTGCCCGGGGCGGGCAGCCCAGTGAGGAGGGCTCTTACCGGACGCCTTTCTCCCCAGCAGCCACGACACGCACAGCCGGGCTCGGCAGCTGCGGCTCCGGGGACCGGGCAGCCGCGACGGAGGGTCCGGCTGGCTGTGGGCAGGAAGACGGCAGCCATTCGCTCCTCTAGGCCTCGGGGTAATGAATAACGGGGCATCTGTCTGGGGCGAGCAGGCAGGGAGCGCTCGACGCGCGTTCCGCTTCCGTGGGCCGCGCGGCTGGACGAGTGCGAGGAGGGGATCGGCGGGCCCTTGGCGCGGTGACCTCCCGGGTGCCCACGCAGCCATCTTGCCGCCCCACTTCGCGCTCTCAAAATGGCCTCCCGGGTCCGCGGCGCGGGCCGAGGGGACCGAGGGGAAACAGCCGCGGGCCTGCCGGCGTCCTTGCCTCCTGCCTCCCCAGCCCCGGGCGGCCAGTAGGCGCGCGCCCCCAGTGCCCGCACTCTGGGGCCTGCGACGACCTTCCCGGCCTGATGCCAGTTCTGGGCTGCGGGCGCTTCAGGTTGCGAAGGCCGTAGGCCCAGGCGGTGCCCTGGCATAGACAAGGTGTGAATGCTTGGAAAGGATTCTTTGCTTAGGCTCTTGCCGTACTGCGGCTTCCGAGTTTGTGCCTCTTTTTCCCGTTTCCCTAGCTCTGGGTGGGGAGCGCGGGTCCAGGCCCTGAGCTCCGCGGGGGCCGGCCTGGTCCTGCGCAGGCGGGAAGCAGCCACGCCACTCCCAGCTAAGGCTCTAGCAACCGAGCGCCTCAGGCTCCCGCGAACGCCGGGTGTCCAAGAAGCCGCCTCCGGTGCTAGAACCGCCAGAGCCGCCATTTACTTTGCGCCCACTGTGTGCTACACGCCGTGCTCTGCCAAATTATGTCATAGAGCACAACAAGCCAGCAGGTGTATGGTTAAAGTCATTTCACAGGTTGAGGGTGAGGGATGACATTGGATCCGGGCCTAGGGAGGAGGGGAGTAGTCTTGCTGGTGACCCAGGTAAAAACATAGGCGCACTACCAACCTGATCCTGGAATTTCCCAACCTCCCAACCCGCAGCCCACTCTCTGAGCCATCTGGGGCGGAGTGCGGGTGCGGGCAGCCAGCTCCTCCTCCCACTCCCTGGCTCTGGTCGCTCACCTCTCCTCCGGTGGGCCCTCCTACTAGTAAGTGCTGCTAGCTGCTGGCGAGTTCGTGACTGCGAAGAGGGCGCTGATCGCAGGCAGAAACCGCGCCAAGGAGGGAGGCACCAGCAGGGGAGTAACTGTAAAACAGAGCCGAGATATCAGGCACCCCCCACGACCGCCCAGAAACATACCAGGCCTTCTTGAAGGTGCACTCAGGGTCGCCTAGCGTTGGCCTGGGGGCGGAGACACACGCGTCCTCAGGTCACAACCACAGCCTGGGGAGGTTGCTGGTCACTGGTGGCGCCTCAACCATGCCCTCCCAGGACGCAGGAGAGAAATCGGGTGGGGCACCGGCTAAGGGGATTGGGGGTCTCCGGCTGTTCCGTCTCACCCGGAGCTCCTTACCCGCCAGCTAGCCATGCTTCCAGCCACCTGCTTGGCTACCGCAGGGGCAGGCGAGGGCAGCGCCCCTCTGCCTGCTCAGAGCTGGAGTTCCGGAAATGGAGAACCATGAGGTTCTCACCTGCGACCCAGACAGCACATCGTGGAAAGCCTGCCCGAGACCACCTCGGGACAACCCTGGCTGCTCCGGACAGCGCCACTCGTGAATCCTGAGATTCGGAACCTTCCAGAGCTGGAACCCCAGGCCATTTTCCGCAGGCGCCAACTGTTAGAAATGTCATACCCCAAGCTAACGCGGGCCTCCCGGCAGCACCCCCTTGGCTCCCAGCCCCAGCCGTCTTGGCAACGCAAGTCAGTCCAGATCCTGCTCCCTTCAAATCTCTAAAGACATTTATGTGTCCCCCTCCCCAGGCAGCCAAGCTGGGAACTTTACACCCATGTGCAACCCCGCTACACAAGCCGTTTTTTGGGGTGCCGATTCTCCCACTTCAGACCCAGTGTGTATGGCATGCCCTGGGGGAGGAAGGCAGCCCGTCATCCGTCCTTCAATGCGATTTGGGGTATCTATTGGGGTGTTCACTGTCTCCAGCAGGTGGAATTTCAAACTTCGGATCCAGACATTTATATGCATCCCTTGCCCCAGCCTGGAAAAAAGAGCTACCATTTGCTCAGTGCCCATTGTATGCCAGGCACTTTATTTGTATATTTTACTTAATTCTCACATAACCCTTGGAGGTATGGGTACTATTGTCCCGATTTGACCCAGAGATGCCTGTGACTTGTCAAGGATACAGAGTTGTAAAGTCCAAAGCATGCAAAAGAACTCTGTCCCACAGGCATGGGCATGTCTCCAGTCCCCAGCTGCTGCCCTTCTGGAATCTGGACTGCCAATTTATTAACCTGGTCCTGGATAGTCCTGGATCTTCCACCCTAGTGCCTCAAATCAGGAATTGTCACCTTCAGAGGCAGAATAGGCCACAGAGGGAAGCCAGTCCTCCTGCTCTCCCAATGACCAGTGATGGGGAATTTCTGCAGCCCTTCTGGACACCCCAGAAGCATTTCCACCCCTCTTTAGCGTAGGTCCAGAACCTTGAGGGAATCTGGTGAAGTGTCACACTGTCCAACAATTCACTCCCAATTTTTAAAATCCTAGTCTACACTGTCAAAGAAGTGGGTGAACTCTCATTATCAGGATAATTCAAGCAGAAGAGAAGGAGATGCATTGTCAGGGAGGGCTTGGTATTTTTACACACAACCCCAGTGTAGACCTAAGGAGACTCAGGAGCTAAAGAAAGCATTTTGAGGAAACGCTCCTCTCTTGAGTTCCTTACAAGGGATTTCATCCCTTCGTTTCAATAGAGGAACTGATATTCAGGCAGGAAACCCTAGCTTTCCTAACCTCCATTCTGAGAGGTGCTTTTTCTTTAAATGACGTTAATGTGACGTTGTTTCTTCTTTTTCAATGAAACCTCTGTAAGAGACAACTTCCATTAAAGAAAAAATTATATCCATTGGGCCTGAAGTGAAAGGAATAAAAAGCAAAAGTGAAGGGGAAAAAAAATAGGTTTTTTTTTTTTTTTTTTTTTTTTTTCCAGAAGAGGGTCAAGGACACAGCCGCTACCTGTAGGCTGCCTGAGATGGCAAAGATGGCAGCTGTAGTTGAGATGGGTGGGTACCATCAGACTTGGGAGACATCAGGACTAGGGGTAATGGAAAGGACAAGGATCTGAAGCCACAGTCTCCAGAGGGCAGAGGAGAGAGGTCTTTCATAAAACAAATTCAGGTCAATGATGTAAGTCCAGCCTACCCAGGAGGGTGCCCATGGTGCCCAAATCCCTTTCCAACTCCATCTTCCAACTCCATCTTCACCCCAATAAGAGAGAGAAGGCCTGAGAAATACCACCCAGTGCAGTTCTGCAATACACAAAGAACCAGGATTTGACCAGAGATAGAGGAAAGCAGCTCCACTCATAGTACCCCCTATTTCATGGAGGGCGGGGCAGGGGGGACAAAAACTAGGTTGCAAACTGAGGGGGGTTGGAACGGTGAGGCTGACCAGTGAGGGGCTCCAGTGTCTGTGCAGATGGAAGCTGAAAGGAAGTTCTAATTAGCACAAAGCCAGCACCTTCCATTAATAGCTCACCACTGCTCCTGGATGCCGCTGAAGGCAGCCAAGTTGGAACGTGTGAGGCTCACCTGTCCCCAGCTCATTAACAGACCTCGGGTGAGAACAGGGCTCTCCTGGAGGACGACCAGCCCACACCAGCTCCCCCAACCAAAAAAAAAAAAAAAAAAAAAATCTAATGACAGGTTTGACTTCCGGGCCCATCCAAGGGGACAGTGTTTAACACAAGTCCAGTGCTCCTGGACACATGCTCAACCAGGCCTCCCTGGACAGTGCTCCCTCCAGACTCGAAATAAATTCATTTTTAAAAGCCCTGGCATACATTCCATTTATATGAAACTCTGGATAGGTAAAACTAATCTATGGTAAGAGACATCGGAATGGGGACTGGCAGGGATTGACTGCTGAGAGGTAGGAAAGAAGTTTTTGGAATGAAGGAAATGAGGTTTATCTTGAGTGTTGGGTACATGGGTATAAGTGCATTTGTCAGAACCCACAGAACTGTACACCTATGATCTGTTTCTAGATGTAAATTATACCTCTATTAATATAGGTGCGTGTATATGTATGTGCATCTATATCACACACATATCCTTACAAAGGTCTCGGCCCCTTACTGTTTTCCCCATAGCCTGTGATCTCGTTGATGTGAAGGTTCACACCCTTTTCAAGGGTCACAGTGGAAAAAGAGGCCAGAGCAGATGGGGAAATGGGGCTGTGCACATCTCACAAACACGTGGCCAGGGCCGGGTGGGGAAGAGGAATGTCTGAATTGAATCAATTAGCTGCAGAAAACTTCAGAAAAGAAGTAAGGCCCTTTATAAAAACAAAGCCCACTCCTTAATCCCCAAAGGCAATCCTCTCCCCTACTCCCATGGCCATTCCTCAGTAAACAAAGAAATCCCTCCTTCCACATCCACACCTCAATATTCATTATGGGCTGACGTTAAAGGCTGCATTCCAGCCTCCTAGAGTGCCCTAATGACTGGAAACCCAAGGGCAGATGACTGAGGGCTCTCTCTCTCTCTGTCTCTCTCTCTCCCCCCACTCCATTCTCTCCCTATCTCCTCTGTCCATCCCATGGCAGTCTGTAGCAGTGTTCTTTCTTTGCTTTTCCCACTTTCTTTCTTCAAATTAGTGAATAAGCAAACCAAGCAAATCAAGGCAAAGACATCACTAACTCTACTTTGTTCATTTATTTTGACAAGTGCAGTTTAATTTTAATTATTTATGGTAATACTTCATAGTAGGCGAGTAAATGTGCCAGGGTATATTTGGTAACATTAATGAAGTCTGCCTAATAGGAACCTTCACTCCAGCACCCCGCCTGGAGAACTGCTTGCTGGAGAAGTGGGGTGAGACCACTGGTCTGTGGTAGGGTTTGCAATTTTTTGTGGGGGTGGGGAGGTGGGGAACTTAATGGGTTTGAGGATTAGCGAAGGGAAAATTAACCCGATTCTAGAGAAGAAGCAAATACGTAAGCCCATAATCATGTGTCGATGTGGATTGTGTGTATTTAAACACCGAGAGAGCACACTTTGTGATAAGGAGGCCCAGGCGTGCACACATGCCACATACATATTTACACATGAATCTCAAATGTGCAAATCAGCAGAGGCCCAAAGAAATTAGGCTCTGGGCAATTAAAAATTGAAATAAAAATGGAAAATGTGATACACAGAGTTCTATATCTCTTCAAAGTGCCTTTCTCCTATTTATATGCGTCAAGTGGGCAAACACAGTGAAAAATTTGGATGATAATAAAAAAGGTAGGGGGTTTCTTCAGCCTGTGATCACATAGGAATGCTCCCTTCAACACACAATGAACCATGAAACACTGGTCTCAGTCAATGCAATGTTGTTATTTTAAATGGGGCTGATGATTTATAGCACCCCACCCTGCCTTCAACCTTAACATAACTGATTGTTAATATAAGCATATGATTTGATATATAGACCATGTATATATATATATATGCACACATAGAATGGGTATATTACATATACGAATGTGCAATCATTTTGTCCAAACACATAGGTAACTGGTACACCTTAAGATATATGCTTCAAGCCATTTATATTAAAATTATCTATAATGATGATAGATTTAAGTCATAACATAATACTGGACTTTTGAGAATAGAAATATTTGACTTTTTTTTTTTTAAAGTACCAAGGGCTTCCTGTTTCT